TTTTAAAACAGACAGTAGTCATTGGAATAATTTGCCAAGAGCCGCCAGAAGTTGCAGTCTCTTCTTGTCCCTAAAAGAGGAGTTCTACTTCAAATGCAATTTAAGTAAGGGAAGTCCTACAGCTTCTGTTTCGTGAGGTTTCAAGCAAGATGGCCATAATAGTCTCTTCTGGCCTTGTAACCTATAAATAGAGTCCTAGTGGAAAAAAAATTATCCTTATCTTGGGCTTTCCCAAAACACTGTGGAAAAAACAATAGGAATGCAGAAAGATCAGGAACAGTCACTTTGCAACAGTTGTGCCTAGTTCAGTATTTCTACTGAAGAGACCAAAACATGTTGTGATCTCATTCCAGAACATCTTTTAAGCTCTTCCTTCTTGCTGTCAGAGCTCAGCCGTACCAAATACACCCATTTTCAGAGCTGTTAACTAGTCAACATTTGGTAACTATAACAAAGGCTGGGTTTGAAGCTGGTGGGAGTTTTGCCATTCTCATTTAATGGGTGGATCAAACCAGAGTATCTTTGCAACTTAAGGACACACTTCAAATTCCCCATCCTATGTGAAGTGAGACTCAGGGGAATTATGCCACACACACAACTGCCGAGTCTGGCTGAAAGAACAGACATTTCTCATATACCATGTCAAATACAGTTATATTTAGGCAACATTTGAAAAGAATTCTACCTACATGAAGTGAATCATTAAATAGCCACAGTACAAATGCCAGACCAGCAACAGACACAAATTTATTCTGTGCAACTGTGCCGCCTTTATTGTTCTTGAGTACTTCACACAGCATGCACCCTCCTGCAAGGCTTCTGGTTGAAAGAAAAGAACAAGTTCTGTCTTTGAGTTTCTGGGAGTGTTCTGCATATATGAAGCCAGGGACATAGGAGCACCGATTTGTTTGACTGTTGACTTCAAAAATACAGTGAAACAGCATTTAGATTATATCAGTCCCCTCCTTTACTTATTCCCTGAGATCATTCTGATGGTGATTCACCATCAGCTAAGCGAAACCCTCCAAGTGCATAAAATACTTTGAATTGAACAAAACAATGCAAAGCATCTAAATATTCTGAGCCTTATGCTCAGAGCAGGACTAGATTCACAGAAGTGCTGCGACTATTCCTGCAGTACCAGCCCCTCTTACTGCCAACTTGCTGTCCATCGCTGCTGTGAGCATGGCAGAGCAGGGTTTAACGCGCTCTTTCATTGGTGGGAATTTGAATCACCACATTCACAGTCCAGTGGGAAAGCAGGAGACCCAGGATCCTGCCTGGTCTTTGGTCTGGAGCAGGGCTATGGAACAGGGTGGCTTCTGTCAGGCCTACCTCTCACAAGTGTGTGCTAACTAGCAGGCTATGCGGTTTTCTGAAACCTCACTCCTTTTTTTAAATATTTGATTAATACTTTAATTCTAAACCACAAAGAAAAATGACTCTCAAGCCTGCTGGCCAGGACAACAACCTGGGAAGTATAACACCTGGGCCTCGGCTCCAAAAAGTATTTAAGTATTTCCTTCAAATAAAGACAAATGCTGCCAACAAACATGCCCAGAACATCTTCTTAGCATGAGTACTTGCAGCTCATTCTTGGGAGAACAAAACGATAGTTGAAGTCTTCCCAGCAGAAGATGACCTGGAACTAGAGTGTCTTGTATTTCACAGGAAAGCCTGAAGCACTGAGAATTAGGATGAAATAGGAACTGCTAGAATAGGAGAAGCGATGTAATTGTCAGCTTTGTGAATCTAGCTCAGAAAAAAAAAATATTAGAGAGGGGGTTCGTCCCAAATAAAACAATGATTTCATGTCAAATCCACAAATAATTTTGAATTAGCCATTCCTGCCTTTTCAGTGTGTATTCTGAAAGAACTGCCCAGTTGCTAATGAGAGCCTCCCAGGCTTGAGGAAGCAGGAACTTCCACTGTTGGCAACAGGCTCCCGCTGTCTCCCACTACTGTCCTCATGGATCTGGTGACAACGCTTCCACTAGTTTTACAAGAAGCACAGTCAGGCCCTTTGGACAAACTGTACAAGTCCTGTTAGAAGATTTGAGTGTCAAAGAGTTTAGCTAATCAATATGCAGCCAGTGGCGATTGTTAAGAGACACTTCTGAAGACTTCCAAATACACATACACACATACACATCTTTCAGAGAAAAAAAAAAGTTTGCATTTCAGAAATATGGTTCAGATTAGATCTGTGTTTCCATAGGCTGAATGTAATTTTCCTGAAAACAAAGGCAAAGGAAAGATGGAAAAGATGTACAGATTGCTGAGCAGCATTCTTTTCCTGTCGGAGGTCTAAAAAGGCCTGTGTTCTCAAATGAAAAACATCATCATCATTTAAGACTGCTCCACAAAACCCAAGCACTTTTTGAACAGACCTCTGTTACAAACCCCTGTTCAAAGGACTGTACAATTGGGCAGCCCTGGCAAAATGAGATAATGTTCATGTATCATGATACAAATATTCTAGGAATAATCAAAACATGAAAAGTTCATACAGGCACCTTCTGTATTAAACTAGAATGACTTGTGAGAATGTCAACTCCTGTATTTTTCTCTCTCCTGTAATTCTGATGCAACACATCCAACAGACTTTTGCTGGTGGTACCAATGGAAACAGGAGTGGGCAATGACCGCTTAGGACAGTGTGACCTGCTACTGTGATACCACACACCCGTAAACATGTCACTCCATTTGTTCACCCAACAGCTGGCTCTCAGTACGGTATCAGATGTACGATTTCTGTGGTCTTTCAGCTGGGAAAACACATTTGAATGTGTCGAACGCCTTTCCAGCGCTAGCACAGGATATACGCTTGGCTCAGACTCAGACTGGTTCCCTCCTGGAAGGGGTGTTTGTGTTGACATCTACAGTTTTGTGACTCTGGCTGGGATGGGTCATGGCTACTCTGCAACAGAATCAGAGCATTCTAATTCTATTTAATTCTGCCTTTTAATTTTAAAACAAAACTATCTTGTACCCTTTTTGGTACAAAATGAGACATCTTTAAAATGTCTTTTTAAAACCTGCTTTAAAAACCTGCCCCATGGGACCACAAGATTTTACTGCGTAAAGGTTTTAAAGCTGCCCAAAACATTTAGGAAAAAAAAAAATGCAGAAAATCTATTTAAGAAAATCTTTTAATTTTTATTACTTTCTAGTAGTCATTTTCTCATGTGTGTTTAAATTCTAAACAAGCTATACAATTTACCTTATAGATTTCTTCCCTGTAAGAAAAAAAAAAAGTCAAGGAAAAATCTTGGGAAAGAAAAGCTTAAGAAGGTACCATCATTCTAAACAGGCTGTATATTGTTATTGCTTAAAATAATGAAATGCTCCGGGTTGGATGCAGGGAGGCTGGGAGTCTACACTTGACATTTCCTTTCTGGTTTTGTTCTTTCTGCAGAAGACATGCCCCCTTGTGGGGAGAGGTTCAGGCCCGCAAACCACTGGTCTCCTTTCACAGGTTTGGGTATTGGGCAAAAGAAAGTTGTCACAAAGCAGCTTTTTGCTTCTGAATTTCTCACTTTTCAGTCCCTCCTTAGATGCACTCACATAGATCTCTTCTGTGGGTTGTGGGGAGGCTGAAGAAAAGCAGCAAGCCATAAGGCTCTTGAAGAGATGATACTAGATGGTTAACACAGCAAGAACAGTTTGTACCGGTTCCTTCAGCTGTGTCAAACACACTAGTTTTAGCACCTTCATGAAACAGAGGAAAACTGCCCTAAAGAAAGCACTGCATAAAAGTTTGCTCGTGACAAGGATAAGAGGACACAATTCCCTGGATCCAAAGGAGCATCCTACAAACTAAAGGCATCATCACTGTAGGAATCTCTGCACCGAACTCCTTACTCACAGGCTCTTAACCCTTGTTTAAGCTAGGGTAACACTGAAATAGTTCTGAAAATATTTTCAGGCTTTTAAAAGCTTTTTTCTCCTTTTTTTGTCATGTCCATTTGGCCATTACACCACTACGCAGTTGCCTATATGTTGTCCTTGCCTGTACCTTGAGTGAGTTTTGTTATTTACTAAAACTGGCCACTTCAAAATGCCAAAAATTTAAGTGACGTGGATCCTAAACATCCACTTACCGTTATTACCATGACAACAGATCTTCAAGTAATGTAACAACTCCACTGGAGTTATGAAAACTGAGACTATCAAATTGCATTCAGTGTGAACACAGGAAGAGGAATACCAAACAGTATGATACCTCGTGACTATTAAACACAGGGTGATAGGTTTTTCCTCCCTTCAATATTGAAACCATATTAATTTTCGCATACGTGATATAAGCAAATGAACTGTCTCTCCAAAACAGATAATAGGCTGATGAAACACACAAATGATCTTTTGTTAGAAGAACAAGATAAAACCCAAGCACATTAAAGCACAGAGTCTGGTAGGGTGACAGGAGGCTACTACACTGCTATGTAAAGAGAGAACAGAGAAAGGGCACTCAAAGTGCAACGTAATGAGACAGGAAGGAAGATGGCAAGGAAAGAGAAGGGAGGAAGCCTGTGCTAACAATGCTTCTATCTGAGATACTAGCATAAGACATGAGAAAACGAACCCTATGTTTTCCATATTCACATAACATATGTTAATCATTCCTGCAGCAGGTTCTTTCTGTCTCAAAGTACAAGAACCCCAAGATCCTCTCTTAGAAAACTGTTCATCACTTCAGGAAGAAGGGGCTATTCTACACTGGTTTGTTCCTTATACCTCAACACACACCAAAGTCACTTTTCTTATCACTACGGATACATCTGTCTGCTTTGTTGCTCTAGACATAAACAAACTGAAATTGGAGTATGCAGTAAGTAACCTGTCTTCTGGGGGCCGACCCTCCTGGCAGACTATAGGGATATCCTCTCCACTTTCACTGATGTGGAATCTTCATCTGACTTCTCTTGAAACGAGAAACTACAGAGCACATCAAATAAAACTTGAAACATGAGCTAGCTGGCGTGAGACAATTAACATGATTCTGACTTATCGATTCCTATTTCCTTTCAGTTCCACGTAAGAGGATTCAGCACTTGAAATACCTGAGAACCGTAAAGCATTGCAATGTTCATCACTGTTGCAGCTGACTAACAAAATAAAAATTGTAAAGTCAGTTGTTGGAAGGGTTCTGCTCCCTGCTCTCTTGTTCAACCGTTACGTAACAAATTGTACACAAACTACATTAGCTTTGCGTCAGAAATAGATTTGGGTAGAATCTCAAGCCTTCCACTGAATCATCTCTGCAAAGATGGCCCATCTTTTCAGCAAGAAGCAGCCTATACAAAGCAAAAGAAGACATGCTGTATTACTTGAGGACAACTGATAACAGAAGTACTAAACACAGCAATTATTACTTACCTTTCTTTGGCTAAGAGAACAGACATCCCCACCAGCTTAGCAAACTCATCAGCTGTGAGAGAACCCTTTTCAGATACCTGTCAAAAACGAAACACACAAATAAACAAACAATGGCATTAAAAGAACAATGAAGTTCTCTCAGTCACTGAATCAGGTCTAGCCTTGTCAAGTGACAAATTGGTAGTAAATCCCTTGTGAAGACAACTAGCTTGTTTGCATTTAAAAAAGTATAAATAATTATGAGTATTTCCCCTTAAAAATACCTCTTCTGTGTCCTGGGAAAATTGCCAAGTATAAAAAAGGAACGTAGAAAAGAGTTAAAACTGTAAAAAAAAAAAATCACATGGTATCCTTCCCTTCGGATTTTTTTAAAAGATGCCCTAGGACAAAATAAGTGGCAAAATTAGAATAGCTCAGACAGCAGGATACTGTCACAACCAGTACTGACACAGCCCAACCACACTCAGCGACTCCAAGCCTGAATGAGGAAATAAAAGACCTGTTCAGGGCAGGTCACCGATTTAGAAATTTAAGTCATCTCAGATGGAAGTGGAGAATTTGAGCTTAATGGGATTTAAAATATCCCCACTGCCTATAGAAAAATCCCCAGACCTTAGTACTCCACCCTGTATTTCAGCATACTAGAGGGATGAGTAAAAGCCACCATCGCATTCAGTTGACACAAAAGATAGGTTCAGTCGTGGGACTCAAAACTTTGGCCCCATTGTTTCAGCCACGCTAGTTAAAATGAAACTTTCTCACACAGGTTAGACATGTGGATGCTTAAAATACAAGATATGAAGTCTAGACTTAGTACTGCATTGAATTTTCCCAGATAAACATGTCTTATTACCCTAAAAATTAGTAATTCTTCCATTTCTCCATTGCTTCAGGTCCACGCAAATTTGTAAAACCAGATGTTTTTCTGCCATTTCCTGCTTCCCACATAACTGGGTGGGGAAGGGTCTGTCCTGTGTCATTCTCAGGAGTAGTCTTTTTACAGAAACTCAGATTAAATTAGTCCTAACTTGAGATTTTTTGAAGGTAAGTGATCAAATCTGAGTAATGGAAGTCAGCTATGCAATCTAATATGCCTATGGGTGATTAATTATCTTTCCTTCCCAAACCACTACTCTCATCAAGTGTGACTTTGGGCTCCTTGGACTTCCATGTCATTTCCTGTCTTCACCAGCCATTCAAAGCTGCATCTCTCTCCTGTCTGAAACCCTGTGACTTCCCTTCACTTCTCAGAAGTTTCGTGTTACTGTACATTATACATTAAATACAGGGTGCTTTTGGCCACAAGTCTGATCTCATCTTCCCTTTCCCTTATGGGCCAGCCTTCCTCATTCCAAGCCTCTCCCTTACATTTTTCTATGGAGTCCAACTCTCATATTATGAAAATAAAAGAAAAAAGGCACTTCAGTAATAAATCCATCATCTGTTGCTTTTCGCAGTTGACCTCATTTGTTATCAAGAAAAGGTTTTTCCTTTCCTTTCAAAGAGATAAGCACTCTTACTGAAGGCAGCAAATTAATTAGAAGCCAAAAAGAATTGAAAAAAACCTAAAATGGACTAGGCATTTTTTTTCAAATATAAGAAAATAAATTGAAAGGATTAACATATATTGAAAAATTTAAGCACTTTAGTTTTGTTCATTTAGGATGGAATCTTTTAGACAGCTATACACATTTCTCTTATCTAAAAATCTTTTTGATGGGAGAAAGCTATACGGCAACAATCATGCAAAATGCACTGAAGAGCCTACCTCATGTATCAAGTGAGAAGGTGTCTGTGATAGCTCTACTTTTTCTTGACTGCACAAGTCAAAGCCCTCTTTGACATTTAACTTTGGATACACTGAATCAGCTTTTACTCAACTTTATGAAAAACAAAAAATTGCATCCCACTGAAAGAGACACAGGAAATGCACCAAATAATGGCACAGCAGGACTTTAAAAGACACCAGAGGTAGAAGACCACAAAGGTTTACTCAGGAATTTATACATACTTTTTTCCCTGATGAAGCTAGCTTAATTCTATACGAACTACTCTCCAACTGCACACTCCTCGCAGCAGCAAACTCAGCACAAGATGTTACACATACAACGTGCTATTTTATGAAATAAACCCCAACCAAACAACTGCCTATATCAACATTTATGAGCTACTTTCACTGCCTTCAAGCACATTGTGTACAGTGTCTGCAGTCCACTTCTGTTAAATTAAGTGCTTAATACATGCTACGAATTTCATCCTACAGCACGAAAGATTCGGAGGAAGGCTGAAGGTTACAAAGTTTGAAAAAAGATGGAAAAGTGATTTATTCCTTAAGGAGAAAGCAGTGACTAAGATTATTGCCTGCACAGCACTTTGAAGATGAAAAGTGCTATTTAAGTATTACTGTTAAAAGATTTGAAAGTGGAATATTTTGTATTTCAAAACCTCAAAAGGAAATCCTGTATCTCAAGTTTTTATACCTAATGTGTTTAATTTCCCCAGCATGGTTGGAACACTGAAGGAAATGAAGTACACTTACTGTCTCTAAAGCAGAAGCTACCATTTCCTCTTCATTATGAGACTGGAGTTCAATCACCATCACACCACTGTCAAATATCCGAAGTCTAAAGTCAAAAGAGAGAGTTAAAGTAACTAAAAACCCTGTGTACATCACCTACAGTCACATTTCTAATGCATCCACACCTATAACCACACTACAAAAAGAAAAAAAAGATAAAAATTAGAAAAGCTCTGTAAAATGAACTCAACATTAAAAGCATCTTCAAAATCTGAAGGGATTGAAAAGAGCAGGGCATAATTTTTCCCAGTCTGAAAAAATGGTATCTGAGGTGAAAATAGTATTGTCCCCCTAGCTGAGTGAACCATGGTTAAAAATTCATACTTTAATGTAGAGTAGATGTTGATGCATACAGCAGCATCCTTTAAGCAAAGGATGATTCTGTTTAAAAAACCCAAAAATCTACTGCAGGTAAAATATTAGGTCAACCAAGCACCATGGTCTGAGTTGCAAGTGCCGTGTTTTATAAATACATCTGTAAAGCTCTTACCTTAGTGGTAATTTCAGTGACTCCAGCATCTTACACGCATTTACTAAATCTTCTGGTGACAGCAACTATTAAAATAGTAAAATATATTTATTCGCAGCTTGCATTTCGAGTATAAAGCATAACACCAAAACAGTTTTAATAACTACAGCTATAAAATACACCAGGGTACATAATATTGTTAATTTTCTTCCTTTTTATTGTGCAGTCTATTTTCTTGGCTTCTATGCTCCCTTCTGTTCCCTTCCTATGTGTTCTGTAACAACCCTTCTTGCCCTGTTTACAGAAAGAATTGATGTATTTTGTAAAAAAAGCAAACATCCACCATTCTTTAGTATTCTTTGTCCTTTCAGTTTTCTTTCCAGATAAGGACAGATTTTCCCTTTTATATGGTATTATAAAAAGCCGCATACATTACAGACTACTTATAGAGAAGGATACACAAACATTACATGGAAGAAGGAGAAAGGAAAAAGTTAAAACACCCTAATTTTAATACAAGTCTGATCACTTCATGCTGTTAGACAGGTAGAGTGAGCAATCAGTAGGGAACATTTTTACCCTTTTTCTTTAATTGCCTTATCACTGAAGTACATTTTATAAGATGTTTAATAAAACGAACTTCTCACCTCTAACCCTCGTGCGCGATTTACCAGACAGTACACTTCTGTAAGTGACATGATCCCTCCTCGCTCCTGTGTTAAGCACAAGACTGGTAAGAGAAATAGCATTAATCTAGTAAACACAGTATCTCAACTTGCATTTGGCTGATTAAAACAGGTAAAATAGACAAGTTAAATGATAGGCCTTAATGAAAAAACCTACCCAGGCAATACCATGTATTTCTAGCATGAGAGGTAAGTTGTTATATTGTTTCTTTCTCTCATTTTCAAATGCAAAATACTGATCACTTTGATTTTAAAGCAGAGAATAAATCACCGGAAGAAGAAATTTCAATATATTAAATCTATCAATCAATTTACCATTTGTACTTTTCAGACATGATCAGTTCTCCATTCTGACCACAGCAGGTAGCACATATAGCTTTCACAAAAACACTGTAATATGTATGCTTTTTAGTAGACACATATAACTTGCAACATGAAATCTTAACTTTTTGCTGACAATCCTGAATTCTGTAAGGGCTTCAGATAAACTAAAATATGAGCTATTACTAAGGGGAGGGTAATCTGTGTAATAACTCTGTGCTATATTTGCAAAATATATAATTTTTAAGCAGTTTAAAGACTGACTACTTATATTTTAAAAGTCCATGTTGTTTCACTCTTTCTTTAAAAAAGTAATATTCTGCAGCAAGAGATATACAGGGCTGTTCAAACAGAAGAAAGACTGCTAGTGTGGTTTTCTAGACATCATCAATATTTTGCAAATTAGAAGTTGAGATGCCATTACTCCAAAGAAAAATTCTTACTTATATTTAAACTTGCTTATTCAGAAAGAGGATATATATTCCTTCCATGAACACTGAGTATGAGCCTGTGCTGCTAAATCCTTTTAAAAAAAAAAGGACAGTACTACAGCCAAAACACATCTACTTCAAAATTCAGCAACACAGGGAAAATGCTGGTGCAAAATCAGGTAGTTTACCTCTAATGGTGTTTGCAGTATTCCAGCCAGTTGCTTCGCCAGTTGCATGTGGTAATGTGTACCAGATCCATATGTTTCCCTAGTAACTGGATTAGCTATACCCATACTCAGCAGATAGGACTTGAACCTAATAGTCTAAACAAATAAATTTAGAAGTACATCAGCCAGTGAATGATTCTGTTTTTTAAAAGTCTTTGATTTTATTACTATAAGGCAGTTTTTGTTCGTATTAATATAAGGCAGTTTTTATTTTTCAGTATAAAACCATTCAGTTTACTACCAATAAAGTCAATTACTAGCAAAGAGAAGGCAAGACTTAACACAATTTATTTTTGACGAGCAGAGGTCAAAAATACAACCATTTACACAAAGGCACTAGAATTTTTGCTTTTAAGAAAGGGTCGACAGAAAAGCTAACACTAAACAAGTCAGTCACTTTTACTTTATGTAGAATTAAAAAGCAAAAAACCCAACTGTGAAGTGTTCGTAATTAGTATTAAACAGACAGCTTTTTGCTTTGCATAGGAACATTTCTGTTGACTTTAAAAACAAATTAATTTACCTCATCCTCAGTGATGTCACCTTGTTTTTCTTTAATCTTATTAGCTATTGACTTGGATAACTCCACCATTTCCTTAGCCTATCAAGAAAGACAAATAGGTAAGTCAACTGCCAGCTCAGCAGAGGAAAGCACGCTTAAAACAGAGAAACCAAGCATACATGTACTTGAGTACGTGACACATGCCATACCTTCTCCATTAGTTTGCTAAGATCCTCAAAAGCCTGAAACAAAAAGGAGACACTGCAGATCAGTATAATTACTGCAGATCAGTATAATTACAAAAAAATACTTCATGGACACAGTGAGCTGCCTTTGTTCACCTTTCCAAGCTATTCATAAGAGCTGCTACCCCTTTAGATTAGTATGTTACAACGTGAGGTATTATATATAATTGGTTGATATATATGTTTTATACCAGGTCTTAAAATCAAAATTATACAATCCATAAACAAGAAAGAATGAAGAAAAGAATCAATTACACACTCTTCTAGGACGTGAACACTCGTTCAATACGATTTATGAAGTCCATATGATAGGAAGGAACAATGAGCTATTGAGGCCCAGAAAAGACTGAACTGTCCCAGTTTATTATGCTCTCCTAAAAGCTCGGGAAAGGTTTGTTGGTGGTGATGGTAGGTTGTCTTACAACAGTTAACCCTCACTCAAGGAGATCTACTGTTTCTGGCCAGCAGCAAGCCAGCTATAAATGTACAAAAGTAGTCCACCTGATAAGGCAATTTTACTTTAATCAGTAGATGTTACTAAATTAGCATGAAAAAGTCATTTCAAATGAGCAAGGAAGAGGGTATACGCTTTCACACATATGCTTAAGTGAAAAGACAAAACCTCTGAAGACACGTAGCAACATCACTTAAGTATCGCATACATAGCAACAGTGGTGCTAAGATAATAATAAAAAAAAGCTAAAACCCCAAATGAAACAAGGTCCATGAGACAAATTATCAGTTTTAACTAAATGAAGATAAAAACTAGATAAAAAGCATCCTCTTAAAACTCCAGTTTTAAAAAATACATGTGAGAACAAGGGAAAAAAAATTGTACAAACCACTTTTTTTCTAGTCTAAGAAATGTTTTGTTTCCACAAAAAATATGTAATAAACTGGACATCCATCATAGGACCACAATTATATCAAGCCTATTGAGCTTAGTAAACTGCTATAGTCTTAAATGCAACAATTCTACAACAACCCACAAAAAGTATTTTTTGTCTCAGATAAAACGTACTTTAAAAAAGCTGAAGATACACTGAAATTCAAAAGTTTTAGCAATGATAACCAACTAGCACTAAAAAAAAAACATGTTAATAAAAAAATGTTAGCAACTATATTAACGCAACTACATTAAAAAGCAACTCTCATTTTCCCCATCCTCAGCAACTCACATTCAGCCTTCTCACCCACTTCTCTCAAATACATGACAACATGCCCAGCTGGTCAACCTTTTCAAACAACATTTTTTGAACAACTGGTGTGAGAAAAATTCCTGAACCTTTTCAGCTAAAGCCTTCCTGACAGCAGCACCCAACCCCTGTAGCCACAAGTAAAGAAGGTTGTTCAGTTAGAGTATGTCAAATGGCCAGAGATACATCTTGCCTACAGCTTCTAGCCATTGCTTCTCTGCAATTCCTATCCTATTCTGACTAATCCCCCACTGGAAAGCCACATTTTAGCAGAATTTGCACAGAAAGGCCCAACTGTTCTCACCTACATTTAGGTGTCTTAAAAGCTTGTTGGTCTGAGAGTCAACATGCAAAGAAGAAAAAGAGATGCCTCCAGGAAGGGACAGGGTTTGTTTTTCATCTGAATCCCTCCTAATGGTGCCAGTGTTTTTCCAGAGACTGGAGAAGTCTAGCCTCTTAACACTTGGTACTCAAATTAGGTATCCAAAATTAAATGGGACAAAGCTAGGTCCAAGGGGAGAAAAGAAAATACACCACTTCATAACAAAAATCTAGCACTATCAGCACAAAAGCTTCTCTTTGGAATAATTCTTAATTCCTAACCTGCAAATTCAAAAATTTACAATAGATTTCCCAATCTCCAGTGTAAATCAAAGTCCTTCTACAGTACTTGTATATGATATCAACAAAAAGTTTTCTAACAAGGTTTTTCCCAGCTTATTTCTAATCTCTATAACCTGCATGAAAACACCATTCATCAAAAGAACTCTTGATTTAGCTAAATAAACAGCATGCTGTGTCTAACTCCTCCTCTGCCTGACTCACCGAGGGCAGGCCTGGAAACAAAGGGGAATGTGCACACACCTAACAGGAACTTCCTCAGATAAACAAAAGGCTAAAGAACTGGATTCTTATCAGCAGTGAACAGCAGATGCAGGAAGCCTTTTCCTGGAAGCCAGGGCACCATTTTTTAAATTAAGTCATTTACAACATTTAAAGCTGGAGGAAGGCAGGATTTTACAAGTCATGGTTTTCCTCCGTTCATACAACACGTATAAATGGATTTCTTTTACTCTCCGACAAAGCTGCTAAAGGAAAAAATAACCAGACAATACCTTTTGAACTACATACACACGTATGTAACCACAATACCTTTTGAACTACACACAGAACTTCATTCATTACGTTCCACGTAAACAGAAAGGAAAAAGTTTAATGCCACCAGTATCTGAAACACCAAGTGGCCTGCAAAGGTACTATAATGTTCTTACGTATCAGAGCAGTGAATGCCTTTTTTTATTGTGGCACGCTGCATCCCATAAGGCTTTACCACAAGAAAGAATCTGTTGCATGTAGTTTATGAGTACTTCTGAATGAATATCTACTACCAAGAAAGAAACAGACTATTTTTGAGGATATTGCTCCCAGGTACACATGAAGAAATTAATTGCCTCTGTTGTCCATCAGTATTGATACCTGGCATTCAACTCTTGTGCTGTTTCTGGGGAAAAGGATGGTCTCCAGCTAGCTCAGGTATTTTGCAGATACCTGTAACATCTTGCTGAAGCCTGAACTGCAGAACATTTTACTGTAATTATAAACCTAAATCTGACATTTAAAAACTGAATATTCAGAAGATGAAAATCTAACTTCACCACAGTTACGCGCAGACACTTGGAGCAGCATATTCTTCTTAATATATATTAAATTTTCAACTCAAAATAAAATTAGCTGTAGAAAAAAGGAAGGAAAAAACCCCAAACTTCTAATAGTCTCTTTCTGCAGACGCCTTTGTGTTCTGCTTCCCCTGACAAAAAGCCCTCAGATTTCTACCAAAATTAATTTCATAAATACACATCATTGATTTCAAAGACCAGTCTTCTTGAAAAGAACTTTCAATGAAGTACCGTTACATATACAGGAAAGCCAGTTAAACAACACAAATAACTAAATTATACACTCATAATCAATTCAGACTTCTCAATAAAAACAACAAATAGTCTCGGCCGCCCCAAAAAGAAAGTGTGAATGAATGTAAATGGCTCAGACAGGTGGTTGACCTTGAAACTTCAGTAGTATTTACCTCGGAAATGTTTTTGTCAGTCTCTTTTCTTTTTTCCTCTAATTTCCTTTCGATCCCTACAATTCCTACGGCCCTTACTCTTCCTGCCTGCAAAAGAAAATAATGAAAGGAATCAAAATAGGAAATGCTAAGTTTTCTCATCCGCCTAACTGTGAAAAACCTTACATGAGAAGACAGGAAACATTCCCCCAAAGAGCTCGTATCATGCATACAATATTTCATATATATTTATTGAAAGTATTTTTTAACCCAGTGGAAAAAAAAATAAACAGTAAGTGTAAAGCATGTATAAGTTTGCTGTAGTAGATAGATAATAAGATTATTATATTGAAGCTATTAATATGAAGATGCTTAACAGCCTGATCCAGACTGAGCGCTCCTGCTCATCTCAAAGCCTCCCGAGTCCATCTATACTAGGGCTGTCGAAAGGCGTGAGAGTAAACACGATCACCTCAAGAAATCGAGCCTGAAGAAGCACAGCCACAGAAACCCAGTGCTAAGTGCAGTCTGATGTACCTCGCTGAGAAGCATCAGGATGGAGGTGAGGTGAACCTTTCATTTGATGGCAAATGTGTTTTTGAAAGGCTGGTACCTAAGCGGGGTGCCAGCCCTCAAACCTCCAACTGCAAAGCTTAGTGCTGACCTTAATGATTGGCTATGACTTAGGAGTAAAAACAGGAAGTAAGGCATTTTCATTAAGTGATTCTTGACGCAGGGTACAGGCTTCCCCGTTAGTCCACATGCCACTATGTTCACAAATCCTACATTTACAAAGGAGGACATAACGTGATTTGACGTTGAACAATCTTTAAATCATCGTATTTCACTCATATAGTACTATATGTTCAATATAGTCACATATTCAACATAATCATGTACAAAAAAAAAAATTACAGGTTTATCAGAGTTTATAACCTACAATTACGCAAAGAAGTCAATCTGACATATGACAGAAATTCTCCGTAACAACTGTCCATTTAGAATATACATCTAAATCAAGCATATATAGGTTCCAAAGAGTTATATAGAAGTTACATGCTATATATCTGACTTCCAGCTACAAAAAATAAAACAGAAATCACAATTAAGACCAAAACTCTTTCAGCTTCATTAGATCTCTCCATGCTGAATAAAGTTACATGCAAGTATATATATAATAGTTGCATAACTGTGTGTATGTGTGTCTGACTACATAAAAAAAAAGTAGAGCTCATTATCAACACACTCAAGGAAGAGAGGCCATAGTATTCTATAGCAGGTGAAAACTGTAAAGGAGAAACCGATTTAGGCCAGCGAAGAAATCGGCAAAGCTGAATTCCCACACGTGCCCACGGTGCTGGTTAGAGGCATGCCAGATGCAAGAGATTACACAGAGTCTGCTCAGAAGCTCTGCACATACCTGCGGATCCCTGTTGACTTGAATGGTCTGACCAGTAGGCATGTTCTCCCACCTCCTTTGTGTGATTTCTTCTGATAATCGTCTATAGAACTGCAAGAGTTACAACAGACGTTTCAGAAACTGTGCAGAGTACCTCTGGCTATTTTTAGCATCTTGGTGGCAGGTGAAATAAACTTCACTGTAAGACAAAGCATGGTAACACCTACACATCCACAGTACCACATTCATTATCTGGAAATTCTTAATGTCCCATCTTCAAAAATATACGTATTAGAAGAGGAGTCATGTCGTTACTAGTTAAACTTGCATGAGTACTTCTATTGTAAGATTTTTTTTTCAGATATTCAAAAAATCCAAAACATGCTAAAGTTAAAAACGTTGAGGTTTGCTCAAAGACATGCTTTTAAAAGGAAGAAAAGGTGAACAATCCAATTACTATTGATTTGTTAATTCAACAATATAAAGACAACCACACAGATCAATTACACTTATTTGTTTATTGCTAATACCAGAAGGCGGCATTAGTTAATTAGTTAACAGTAAGTGTATCCCACAGAACAAAATCCAGAAGGAAAATCTATTCCATTCTTACGGTTGTTCAGAGTTCACAGGAAAGCATTCTGAAGTTATAAAGAAAAGATCTGGTGTGTAATTGATATGCTAGGTAACCAGTAAGTTTAATTTTCAGACATGAACATTAACATCAAAATAAATAAGGTTACAATTAGGCAAAACACTTACACAATTATAATTAGGCATAAATCTACACTTATAGAATCATTAGGTTGGAAAAGACCTCTGAGATCATCAAGTCCAACCATCAATCCAACACTACCATGCCCACTAAACCATGTCCCGAAGTGCCACATCTACACGTCTTTTTAACACCTCCAGGGATGGTGACTCAACCACTTCCCTGGGCAGCCTGTTCCTACGCTTGACAACCCTTTCAGTAAAGAAATTTTTCCTAATGTCCAATATAAACCTCCTCCGGTGCAACTTGAGGCCATTTCCTCTTGCCCCATCACTTGTTACTTGGGAGAAGAGACCAACACCCACCTCACTACAACCTCCTTTCAGGTAGTTGTAGAGAGCGATAAGGTCTCCCCTCAGCCTCCTCTTCTCCAGGCTAAACAACCCCAGTTCCCTCAGCTGCTCCTCACAAGACCTGTTCTCCAGACCCCTCACCAGCTTTGTGCCCTTCTCTGGACACGCTCCAGCACCTCAGTGTCTGTCTTGTAGAGAGGGGCCCAAAACCACACACAGTACTCGAGGTGCGGCCTCACCAGGGCCGAGTACAGGGGCACGATCACCTCCCTACTCCTGCTGGCCACACTATTGCTGATACAAGCCAGGATGCTGTTGGCCTTCTTGGCCACCTGGGCACACTGCCGGCTCATGTTCAGCCGGCTGTCAACCAGAACCCCCAGGTCCTTTCTGCCTGGCTGCCTTTCTTCCTAAGCTAAAAACTGCTCACAAAGAAATGGAAGTGAGTGATCAAGCACATGCATTTATAAGACATTTCTAACTACTTCAAGTTGAAAATCTGATTTTCTGCAGTGAACAAGTACAGCTTTTTTCACTGTTCAAAGTTAAAGTTCTCAGTCTCTTCAAGAGAGGATCTTAAATGGTAAAATTTCTTTACAGAGTGCAATTTCTTTGGTTTTTAGGATAAGCCTTCTTTTATAAATATATTACCTTTTTTTAGAATGCTCAAAACCTTTGAGATTTGGTGTAAGTTAAAAAAAAATAAAGATTTATAAAACATAAAATTAAACAAAGCTCTGAGGCAACAAAAAATGTTCAGCAATAAAATTAAGAGAGTTGATTAGGATTAAGTTGCTTGATTCCTGTTCAATAGAGGGTTAGACACAAAGAAACAGTCTTTTACTCTGTTAAACATTTAACAGATTTCAGAGATGTCATTTTGGAAAACCCTGTGTTCAATTTAAAAGATTAAAAAAGGAACTATAAGATTATATTAGAACCACTAAAATAAGCACAAAGCTTAACAATACCTCTTGACATTTTTGGAACTCTGTTTGCATTATTTAACAAAAGTGTAAAACCCTGAAGGCTCATAGTGTTTGTCTTCAAAAAGGATGTATTGAAAAAGCTCCACCTCAAAAGTAAACACGGAAAGATCACGGGAAGTTATCACTAGTGCAGCAAGAGGAGAAAAGCATGTCCACAGATTTGCAGGGTACAAAACTTACCTCAATCTGCCCATGTTCTTTGAAAGAAAGTTTGATGTAGGAATATTTGCTGCTTTGGAATGGACCAGGCTCTTTGTTTGAAGAAGCAGGATGAAGATGAACTACTATTTTGGCACTAAGTAAAAGTTAAAGAAAAGAGAAGAGGCAGCTTTTTGTAATATCTAAAAAAATTATTTCTACAATCAAAGTTAACCATTTAATCAAAACCTCTATTAACTTTATCTCAGAAAAGTGCTAAAGTACATCAAATAATGCTTTACGTTTGTGCACCAACATATAAGTATTTTGACCCAATATTACAGTGGATCTTGCATGAAAACTGCTACAACCTCTGAACCAGCAACTCTTAAGAAATAAACATAACAGATTTTAACATTTGAAGCAATAACTTCTGAAAAATCTTTTAGTTGAGACAAAAACTGATCGTCAAGTAGTTATTTGATTTGGCTTTTGACTTGCAATAACTACTGCCAAAATACACTATCTTTGTCACAGGAAAACCAAAGGTCTCAATATTATGTTTAATCTGTCCCACTTGTGTATGTCACTTGCGAACACTGTACGTGAATTTGTCCAAAACCAACATTCAAAGGTTGGATGGAAATAACAGTCTAAAATGACACCTACCACCAAAACAAACCCTGAGATAGCATTATTTTAGGAACATAACAGACTGCTATCACAGCATAACTGCAAGTCTGCCATTCCCATTTCATTTTACTGATACCTTTTTTGTGGGTCTTTATTCACTTGACTTCTCCAGCATTAGTGAATTACCTGATTTCTTCTGGATACCCCCAGCATATTACCTTACCCATCTGACTGTTGGCTGCAAGCAGATGTCAACTACATAGAACCACGGAATTATTAAGGTTGGAAAAGACCTCTGAGATCATCAAGTCCAACCATCAACCCAACACCACCGTGCCCACTAAACCATGTCCCGAAGTGCCATGTCTACAGGTTCTCTGAACACCTCCAGGGATGGTAACTCAACCACTTCCCTGGGCAGCCTGCTCCAATGCTGGACCACTCTTTCAGTAAAGGCATTTTTCCTAATGTCCAATCCAAACGTCTCCAGTTAATAAATTTTTTCTCTTTTTCTTGTGAAACTTCTTTATGCATATACCATACTGAATTAGCCACTCAAGTGAATGGAAACACCCAAGTTCCTTCTAACCATTGCTAGCATCTCCATGCTCTACATCAATCATATGGTCATGAAAAGTGATATAGTACGGAATCTGACAGAATTTCTATCCCTAACCAGTTCTGTGGCACAAAAGACTAAAATTATCTTTCAAAATTTAGATTTTATGACTAATCAAATGAAAATGGCAAGCCAAAACACATACCTGTTTAGTGATTACAAGACAGTTATTTAACAAAGCACATCAAACACTGCTTTGTTATGACTCTTTTACACATTTGACTTCAAATGAGGAAAGCGGGTCCTTGTGGCTGTCAATCTGGAAACTTAGATTGCAAACAACCTACCATGAATTAACAGATAATCTTGGGTACCTCACGTAACATGCATGTGCAAACTATCCATCTGAAAAAGACAGTGACTGTCACCTTACCTTTTTCCTATCCCAGCCGCTTGCTCTTCAATAAAGACGACCTGAGACAGAGGTATAGCCATACAGCACTCCTGGAATAATCAATGCAAACACAAGTGAAATTAAAGCCATGTCTTGAGTATTCATTCTATAAAACCAAGTGTTCTTTCACTTCACGAACAGCACAGGTTTCTACAGGTGCTGCCCAAGACACTTCCTATGAAACACGATAGTAACAATAGAAACAATCTATTAAAGAGAAATATAAGTAGAAAACTAATACGAAGTTGAAACTGAGTTCTAGTTAAAAAAAAACAAAACTGAAGTGTCAGTGTGTCAACTTTAGACACCTCAATCTAGATCCATAGAAGGACTCAGGAATTTAACAAATCTTTAGTATCTAAGTTCAACATTTAAACACTAAAATTTCCACACTACTGCAGCTTATCCCTGTAGGAGCACAATACTCACAGGTTCTTAACATTTTCGCATCGATGTTACTTTGGGAGCTAAAACAATATCCAAAAGCACCAGTCTTCGAAGTGTTGAACATCTAAAAAACTAGACTATCCTCCAAGCGGAACAGGAATTTCTCCATCTATCCCACACCCAAGGACTTAATCCAGCAGTTGATGCATCTCAACACATTAACTGGACTCTGCTTTAGACAAAACAAAGGAGAGCAAGAAACAAGACTGTATCCATCTGTGGGAGACTAACCTACCCAGGCTAAACACTTTCTATATGCATTTGAGACAGAAACTGCTGAAGGGAGCAATTCAAAGCACCTGATCAGGTGCCTGGTCTTGATTTGGTGAATATCCTTTGGTGAGCATCATCTTCTGCACAACAGCACAGTGACTGACGTCTCTGCCACCCGCCAGGAGGGTGTGCCTAACACCAGGTAACACTGAACACCACTACAGGGCCCTCCAGTCCCTACTACCAAAATTGTTCCCCTTTGCATGAAATGATCAAATACTCATTAAATTGGACATTAGGGAAGTAAACATGCAGGAATTCCGACTAATGAGTAAATCTCTCATTGGGAAAAAACATGGGTTGTACTTCCTGTTCTAAAAACTCCTAACACAAGCTATCTTGATCCTTCTGTGGCTCCAGATTCTACAGCCGTTATACAGAACAGTTACCGTCTGTACAACACCCACATAGCTCTGGACACCTTAAATATACGCAAAATGACACTTCTGTTAAGAAAAAGGTTTTGAAAATGACAAAAGAGTCCAACTATATATCGTACGAACACTGTCAAAATGACTGATTCATTTAGTTCACACCTAGAAAGTTATGAACTTATTGTAAGCACAAAGACTCAGAATCACCCCTTCCTGGTGAGAGAAGCAAGAGGAAGGGATACAAAAGAGATTTATTTAAAATGCTGCGAGTTTATTTGGATATTTTTTCCTCATGTTTCATACTCAAACTACGCATGATTTTATGATTTAAAATGTTGTATGAATCTAGCTATGTAACAAACTTTAAAGAATTACGTATTTATTTTCCTTTGGAAATCACTGTATTTTCTATACTGTTCAACTGCAGAGGGTATGTAACAACAGCAGCTGTAAAACACAGCTGTCTGTTTTTGTAAAAAGGTCTGCTATGTTAACCTACTGACAAGGGCCCCATTTATTACTGAAGTTTGCTGACACAATAAAAGGGGACTCTCTACAAGTTTAGTCTAGGTAAGCTAGCTAAGGTTGCTAAGGCTGATGTTACATCACAGCTGAGCTTAGCCAACAACTCGCCACGAAAATAAAAGGGCATTGTACTCTTCATGTTTTAAGCCTAAGAGCCTGAGACAGAATCAGCTTCATCTACCCCACTAAGATATTTGTGCACCATAGATTTAAAATTAAAACCCCAAACCTGGCTCTGCTGAGACAGAATTTGTCTGTATTAGATCAGAATTGAGTAACTTTTGCCCATCTGCTGGCCATATGTTTCTGCCCCTTCTCTTAATCAAGCCTGGAGCTTGTCAGAATCTTTAACTTCAATGAATTTGTTAAAAGAAAACTATTTTTCTTATTCTCCAGCTTTCTTCTCTGCTGATTCAGCAAATTCAATGATCTTGATACAAGGAATCACGTAGCCTATAGGCAGGGGAAGTCAGGGACAAGAGATGAATGCCATCCTTATGTTGGGAAGGAGAGAATGGGGATATGGACAGTTGTTGGACTTGCTGAAGCCGTAACACTTAATGTTCCTCCAAGCAAGTAAAATGTCCAAGTGGGAAGATCAGAAACAGTGCACATTGCAGTACATGGCCACCTGTCAAGAAGGGATGGCGACAAAGAAATAAAGAGATGAACTACACAGATACTTTAGCACAACTAAATTATCTCACGCTGACTGTGCCAAAAAAGAAGTTAACTTATTCAGAATAGTTCATGATCTGGACAATCAACCCCTGACTTCTTTAACAGTAACCTCATCCTGGGGACCAGCTCTCAAAACATTTTGAAAAATTTGTACTAAAAATACTTCTGCTGTTCCTGCAAGGAAAAAATATAGTATGTTCCCTAAGGAAAAAATATATTACTTTGCCAAGTTAAGAACATCCTTGGTGACCGTACCTTTAGAAGTCTCTTAGTAGCTCCCTGGTTTGGAGCAAGGATGTGATACTGGGTAAGGAATGGTCTTTGGGTGTGAGAGGTGCTTCAGCTATCCTTGTGCAAAACCAGTCCAGCGGAATATAACAGGCTTTTGAAAAGTTATTATCTGAACATGCTCCCTCTAGACTTTGGCTTCCAGGGCTAAATTTCTAAAAGATTGTGTCCAAAATGAGCATAATCCAACCTCGTTCCAAGGAGGACTTCTCCTTCAATTGCAGCTGTAAAGAGCACATTGTCTCAGTCTATGCTTAGAGCTTTGTATGTGTTTGTAGCCTTTCTCACCCACTTCTAGCCTGCAATTGCAGGCTGTGCCTCGATGATGCAAAGCATTCAGCAGTATTATTACACGGTAGTTCTGACACTATCACTCAACCTCTGAGTCAATTCTCCATAGCAGTACAGACAAATGTTCTGGCTTGTTGAAGGGATGGTTCAGCACAGGAACAGGCAGTTGGGAGGGTAAGACCTGTACAAAACGATACTGCCACCAAACAGATCCTATTATCAACTCATGGGCTGGGACTATATGGCGAGAGCAAAAGACAGCGAAACTTTGACTTGAAAACTATGAGGAAGAAAAGGTCTTGCTAGACAAGGAGTATGGGAGAGGAGTTCACATCATCGTTTGCCTGACACATTCAACTCCAGTCTCAAAACCAATGTTCTTTTCTCTTCTATTTTTGTGCTGTAGAAAAGGAAAATTGATATGGTTCATTCCAACCCCTCCTCATCTCTGCATCATTATTTTATTAAAGCAGAATTGGGTGAAAGAACATTCCTGTACATAATTTTCTTTCCACTGTGAGACAAAAAATGGACTATACTTGTAAAACAAAACACACAAAGGAAAGAAAAATCTCCTCTCTGTGTGCAGTCTTTTCATTGCAAGCTACCTGTTATTATGGAATTTACAATCGAATCACATAAAAAAAGACAAAAGTGGGACTTACATGATTCTTCTGATCCCTCCAGATTAGTCTGTGTGTGCTAAGCAGTAACACTCCACTATCAAATTTCACCTGAATAGGAAATATAAGACAGATCAACAACAAATTTAACCAGTAAGTTGCATAAATACTGATCTTGGAAACCTTACATATTACCACAACATAGCAATCAGATTAAATAAGCCAGTATTCTGAGAACCCTCTCTTTTTTCAGAAAACACAATAAATGAACTTTAGGGAACAAAGGAGAAAATTAGTATAAAAGGATGAGATGGATAAACACAAACTTCCTTTTTCAACTGTATAAACTTTCCCCCAGGAAATCCTGAAGGATCCTCCCTCCATATGCTGTGCAAGATATACGAACATTTTTAAATATAATATTTTAAACAGGGCTACTGGCTTTGGAAAACTATCTGCTGACGAAGAAAGTAAAAGTTACAGGAAAAAAGCGAAGCAACCTAATAAGATGCTACGCACAGTCTGAAATCTTCCAGCCTATCACATAGGAGTATTGCTTCTATCCATTTCACTGTTAAAAAGTTCTTTATTTAACAGGCAGCAATCAGTATGTGGAAAATCCGTGTTAATAAATTACTTTCCACTTGTAAAACTTGAGGCACGTTTTCACAGTCTTTTACGATGGTGTGCAACTACTGTGGTGCGGAAAAATGAAGAGCTCGAAAGTTAGTCCAGCAGTGAAGGGAAGGAATAAGCGGGCAGGCTCAGATAAAAGCAGAGGGCAAGAGAGCACCCTTCACGACCAGAGCTAAAGAGCATTTTACCAGGATGACTCCAGCTACCAGGATGACTCGAGTGTGAGCTGTATGACGTACCCTGCACATGACATCAAAGCCAAAAGAGCTTTGCTGGGCGGAGCACCACGGGGAGGCACAGCCCGAGCAGGGGACATCACGCTTCGTGACAGTGACACCAGCCACACCCGCCCTTCGGGGGTGCCGACCCTCCCTCCGTGTGGCACGCACCGCCCAAGGCCTTCCGCAGTCCCACAGAGCCCCGATCTCCTCCCTCATCACCTCCTCACACAGACAAACCCTGCCAGACCCTGGAGCAAAACGTACCCCTCCTCCCACACTCCTGACCGACGCCCCGCCTGCAGCCCAGGCCCCTTCACACCCCTCGTCTCCCTCCTCCCTGGCCCGATACCACCCACAGCCA